CAGCAGCAGCAGCAGTAGCAGCAGAAACAGCAACAGCAGCAGCAGTAGCAGAAACAGCAACGACGGTAGCAGCAGTAGCAGTAACAACAGCACCCCCTGTAATAGATGAAACACGATGTGCACAAGGTCGCCCACTTCTATCACTTCCTCATTAATGACGTAGATATAACCTACTGAACGCAACAGCAATATCATGGACAATTCCACGACACACGTGCCACCAAGCGACGACCATTCCGCTAAAGTGCACGATAATTTACTCTGCCCATTGCCTTAAACTGTGTACCCAATACAGGTGACGTCAAGAAGACTAACTCTGTTGGCTGCTCGTACGCAGAATTCTCAAATATTCATTGTGTATGCCCTGTTGTCTATCATTGTGCCTGTTTGGCCAATGTCAGAAAATAATTATGGGACGTTGTGCGTGAGCAAACATTGACGAAAAGTGAAAATGCACTGTCCACGGACCTTACACTCTCCCCACACCCCAAAAGAAAAAAAACCATTGAGAGGCACACCCTTCACAAAAACGGGGAAATGGAAAAGGGGAGAGAGTGGGGCGATGGCGCTCCTGGCCCGCTGTCTTGCATAAGTTCGCAACTCTTAACATCAGGATATTGAGCCTTCCGAAACTATATAGATCTATTATAGCATTTTTCTGAGTTGACCACTTTATGAAATGGATGTCTGGTGATCGACAGATATGGAATTGAATGCATGACAACATTTGGACACCTAGACTTACCTTCTGCTGTTTTGTAACCCCACTGTGGACAGAGTGGTTGGTTAGGTACTTCCACGTCGCACGTAGCCTAGAAGACCTGAGTTTGATTCTTATGTTCGGACAATCGTCATCTTGGTCTTCCTGCTTAGACGCAGTATTCCTCTCATTCCGGGTTGGCCGTAACAAGCTAGGTCGAAGCCTGCCTCCTAAATGGTGTAAAACACCTACATTAAAAAAGCGGAGTTGGCAAATTAGGACGACCAGGCAGCTCCAATGAGATACCCTGAAGTCGTGTGGGCTTAAATAGTAGATGGATACAGAACTATAAACTACGAATCAATGTTGGAGACTTTTTAAGACTGTAATTTTGTTCTTAATGGCTCGGATATCTTTCTTCATATTTCTCAGCCCCTGACTTGCGCTTCCTCTATTGTTATGACAGAGCTGTGAGATTTTGAAGAAGCGAAACTTCATTGACGCTTGTAAGTGTGAAGTCAGTATTCGTGCTATTCGAATACCTGTGCGAACAGTAGTTCTTTTTCCAATATTTTTTAATAAGTCCATCAGCAACACTTTCAAGTGAATATATTCACTATTCACCTCGCTGTTCGCGTACCATTGTCTCGTAATCATCAAGTACATAGTAGTATTTTTATCATGTTACATAAATGATTTTAAATACATGTAGATGAATATAATATGCTTTATATTAAGTAGTGTCATGGGTTCGCAGACAATGCTGTCACACACACACACACACACACACACACACACACACACACACACACACACACACACACACACACACACACACACACACAAGAGAGAGAGAGGGAGAGAGAGAGAGAGAGAGAGAGAGAGAGAGAGAGAGAGAGAGAGAGAGAGACAGATGCGCGCGCGCGCCTATTTCGTCTTATGAATCCCACACTAGCCTCATTGCGTGCCCATGTCCACAGATTCCATGACAAAACTGTTTTCTCCTTGTGTCTCTTCAACCTTTTCTTTCTTCTCTGAGAGCTTATAATGGAAGTCGCATAGAATGTGTGTACATTTTTCCTTACATTTACTGCATATATACATACTCGTAAATAATACATGTATATTATTGCTTTTAATTAATAATGATATTATAAGGCAAAATGTCATTTTATATTAAAAAATCAATTTTAAGACAAGTTCTGTCTCGTCCGAGTGTTTTACATTTCCCGTCAGGTTGAGAGTAGCAAAGATCAAAGCCGGTGAATGAATCTTGAAAAAAAGAAATTTCATTTTGTGCCATCTGGAGTGATTGTCTTTTTCGTCCCCATCGACACAGTTTGAATCAAATAGGAGGCGGGCTTCGACCATGCCTGTCATTAATAACAGTCCGCTTAATTGTTAGGGGCTGGACATATCAAAAACAGAAAACACGAATTACCAATCTGCTTTTGCTTCTTCTCTAAACTGTTCTCCTTTCACCTCCTTCCATGTTCTCTAATCATGTTCCGCTGTTCTGTTCTGTCATCTGCTCTCATCTCCAACACCCCCACCCCCGCCCCTTGCTCTGGGACTCTCTCTCTCTCT